AAAAAAAAAAAAAAAAAAAAAAACGGGGAAAATACGAAAAGCGGCGCATTATCTATCCATTTCAATTAGTGACTGATCTGGTTTTCAGTCTAAAATTAAGCTTCGCGCTCCAGTAAAGTTTGTTACCGCTCGCTAGCTTTCCTGACATGCTTCATTCGTTTGAAAAAAATGGGCAACGCGCTAACAGATTTTCCAGCCCGCTCTAAAACGTTTTGGGGCATTTCATCATACTGAATTTTATCCAAGATCCGCGGAGGGTAATGGAAAGGAATTCATCATAGCCACCTAATTTGTTAACTTTGATCAGTTTCTCTCGTCCCGACTACCCTCTGAAAAAAAACTTAAAATTCTAATGGCTTATTGTTACTCTTTCCGCTACCTTAGGTCGTATGTTAACAAAATGCTATTAAAAGTTGTTGGCCGTGACGATAGGATCAGAAATTGTGTTACCGTCTTTCCTAAAATTATCTGGCAACTCTGATCTTGATTTATTTTTATTCGTTATCCCATTAATTTGAGTCTTATTTGAGTCTCGAGTTTCCTTTTATCATAATATCTCATGACATTTTATCACAGAAATATCTTTATAATTTTTTGCCGTTAACATTTTTTTCCGAGTCATCAAATCACTTAAACGCATAGAAACTTACGTGTAAGTAGTTCTGAAATCACATCGGTAATGGCCGCCTCCTTCAAGCAACAGATGCCTGAAAACATCTCCCTGTAGAACTCCGCCTTTGCCAGCATACATACTCTCACAGGATGGCTCCCATTTCAGCGTCTTTTTCTTCATAATTGGACCGTCTGTGTCAAGGTTCTCGCCAATAAATTTAATGTCATATTTAAAAACGTTACCATCCATTCTAATGAAAAAGAATTGAAACTTAATGAGTAAGACCATGCACAAATACAATAAAAAATCAATTACAGTGTATAATTAGTAATAAGATTTAAAAGAAAAAACAGCCTCATGGCAGGGAAGACAATCTTAACAGGAACATTTTGTACATTTTCTGCGTTATGGTTCTTCACAGTGAAGACCACTTTGGAAAAGAGCCTTAAACTTTAAAGTTGACAATCCGAAGGTATATATGTATACCGATTTTATAATAAAATTTTTCAGTTATTACAAAGCAAGAAGACAGCTCAAGCTAAATGACAGAAAAAGATGAAGGGGCGAGGGGGTACAAATTAAAGGGATATAATTAGAACTATGCAAGTCTCATCAATCTGGAACACAATGCTACGTAGGCTCCCGGTAGGAAGCATTAACTTTACATCTTACTAACGTTATGTTGTTTGTCACGGTGCAAACGCCTCCATCTTCGAAAGTCATGGTTCGCTCCCAAGAAAATCCCTCAGGGAACGACTGCTTGAAAAAGTCCGGTATGTCTGATGGGTATTTGGTGAACGCCCTGTTGCCGTACTCGGTTGCTGTTGTCAAGATGTCGAAAGCGAAAGGGAGAGGACCGCCTTCTGTGACTACAAGGTCTATAGTCTGTGTTCCTCTAAAAGATAAACAGGAAACCAAAACGGGCTGATCATATGCACTACAAAACCTTTTTCAGGTGAAATATTTTTGAGAGGTAACGACCGTAGAATCTACTTGGCTGATTTGATATGAAGACCAGTTCTGAAATTCTTCGATGAATTAACGGTTACTCAATCTTTTAAATGCAGCACACGTTTCCAGTACTTACCTTGACAGGAAAGACAACTTAACGACCTGTTATTACATCAGGAAACTAACTTATAAAGGGTAAGGAAAGAAGAAGCTAAGGGAAAAGAAAGTTCTTTAGTGTAAAAAAATCTTATGATATAAGCTATACGTGGAGATGCCAAACACTAAACCTCTCAAAATTTTGATCCCACAAAAGGTATGTCTGTTTTTAGTCCGTCGCCTTAAAGATGATAAGATTACAGAAACAAAGATAGACCCAATACACATGTGTCTGCTGATAGCCGCAGATAGGACGAATTCTCGGTACTAAATCTCGTTCCCTTGGAAAAAAAGGAAGACGAAAAACAAACAAACAAACAAAAACGTCTTCCTGAGTTAAGCACTGTTCCAAGTAGTGCAGCCGGAAAACTGCCCACAACGATTACACATTTTGAAACTTTTGCTTACTCGAAAGGCTTGCCTTCTCCCGTTCCTGTAATCTTGAAATGGTGCTTTTTGTTGATGTGACCTGTCATAGTCAGCTCGATCTTCATGACTTTTGCAATCACACTCTACGGAATGAAATTTGGATGAATCCAATCATCAGTCACCAATTAAGAACAGGCAGTAGAGGAAAAACAAAATAAAACACTTTAATGCGTGTAGCACTTACCATGATGGTAGACGTAAAGTAAGATATCGGTCTTACAGCTCTAGTTGTTCTCGATCTGCTCTCTTCCAAATCACCAGGGTGAATGAGACTTCAGCGCGGTGAGTGCTGCTTTAAACCTGAATGTCACACCCAAAATCCGCTTGAATCAATTATAAGCAAGGAAATTTTTGCAACATAGCTGGCATGCTATCCAGAAAACAAAAAAATCATTGTCCAAAACTAATCTTCATGTGAAATCAGCAAGCTCATAAAAAAAGGAAACATAATTAATTTAGATTTACCTTGAGCGTCCTTTCGTTAGCATTAACCCTATATAATTAATTCAGCCGAGAAAGAGTAAAAATGTAGCACCAAAAGCGCGGTCATTTTCTCGCCTAAAATTAAAACTTCCCGATAAATCAGAAGCCTCGATCGGCGTTCTATCATTGATTTATCTCATACAGTGCAGGTATCTTTAAAAACATATATTTGGGTACGTGTTCTGGATGAGTGTATATTCCCACGGATTAACGAAAACAACTGAAATCTTTTGTTGTAGTTAGCTCGCTCGTAAAAGGTGTTAGTTTATTAAGGGCACATATGGCACATGTGTCACATATGTTCGTGTTCTCAGCCTTCAAATCAACGCCCATTCATATGCATGGATGGTAATTCTCACTGTGATGTAAAAAATTATTAGAAATTAACATGAAATTATGATTAAACTTGTAAAATACAATTATTAGACACCCCAAGGGCTGACCTTTCTGCATAAACTGCCCTTCTACAGATATAAACACATGAAACAGCAACCTGTCACGGAAAGGCCATTTTCTATGCTTTTAATTGGATTACGAGTTTTCGTTATCCAAAGTCCATATATTACTTCGAAAAACATTTTCAAACGGGATATGAAAACCTCGCAGAACGAGGACAATAAACATTCCAGGAATATTTCTAGCGCTCATTGTTTGCACTGTAACCCGGAGGGAATATTATGTTTATTTATTAATTTTTTTATTATTATTATCATTTAACCTTGAACTTGGCTACATAATAAGCTTACTTATGTTCACCATTTCTGTGCAAAAAAAGCAGAACTGACTTAAAATTGGTTGAAAAAATTTGATTTGCAATAAATTATTTGAGTATTTAATATAGGTTAGTACATATCTTATTCAAGTTTTCATTATACCACGGTAAAATTAACTGGCGTGATTGATAACAAACCAAGGGGAGAGAGATAAGCGTTTCAGTCACTTAGCCAAAGCGGCGTGGTTATATCATTGATTTCCTCGTACTTTTTTGTCTTTCTTTGTTTGACATCCAATACAAACAGTGAGCGGTAATAATATTTTTAGAAAACTATCCTTTTTCATACTTAGGCGCACATTTGCGCGTCTTTTCCAGTTACCTCTTCTTTTTCTTCTCCTTCACTTAAAACTCGCAGCAAAGGCTTTAGTGGCAACGAGTTTTGCAAGACGGAATTGAATCAACCTTCGCTGCAAATTGCATTGTTTTGTATGCATCAACTGAATTTGAAGAAGCCGCTTCAGTAAAAAGATGTGCAAATGAATTGTAAAATGACTGTCCTTTTGCTGAAACGTGTATATGTGACAATTGTACTGTTGTGACGGTAGATAGCTCAAGTACTCAAAGAGGATTAAGTTAATTTTAAGCGCGCGGCGCCATACTAATCACGGTCATAGGCCCTTTTCATAAATGGCTGCCAATTTAAAATTCTTTTGTATGCATTTAAATGAGCCTCACTAAACTCGTTTGGGAGTAAAAATTCTTTTGAATTATCAACTCAAGAACGAGGTTAGTCAGGCTAATTTTAATACTTACAAAAGGATTTATAATTGGCAGCCATTTATGAAAAGGATCTATTCGGTTTCATTTTAGACGAAACCAGCGTTCTCTCAGTTTTCCCTCCAAAACAGTGAAAGACATTTTATTTCTGTTATCATCTAACGTGCGACTTCAATTTCGACATTTTAATAGCTGACGTACTGCGGTCAATGTTCCTTTGTTTACTGTTGCAATAATTGAATACTACTTTTTCCAGTTTTTTTCCGACCAAATTTACTTTACTTGCCACTCATTTTGATGTCCTGTCTGTTGTTGTAAAATGGAGCAAATGTTGTCAGTTTTCCTCAGCTCAGCTTCACCATTCTTTCTTTCAACCTTGGCCTGATCAGACATTTAAACTTTACGTCTGTGCTCCGACAAAAATCTGAATAAATAAAAAAAGTGCCTATCCTGCTAAGGTTTTAGTTTCTTATTTAGCAGTAAGACCCTCCAAGAACTTGTCATTTTGCAACATTTTAGGTCGACAGGGTACTTCGTTTTGTACCAAAGCACGGTTGAATTTATAATCTTTTGTGTTTTGTTACATTAAAATGGCGACCCGAGATTTGGCTGTTGCATGCATCAAAATATGACTTATCCTGTACGTTTTTTCTTGCTGAACAGTTCTTGCAATAGAAAAAGTGTTAATCGCAATGTGTCGGAGCTATAGAGTAATAACGATTCTTTATGAGCAATCAGTAAGCTCAGAAAAAAAGGAAACTTAATCATTTTCTTTGTATCTTGAACTTCATTTCGTTAGCAGTAGTTCGATAGAATTCAGTTGAGAAAGAGTTACAATGTGGCATCAAAAACGCATTCGATCATTTTCTCGCCGACAATAGAAACTTTCCGACTAATTAGAAGCCTTGATCGGAGCCCCATTACCTTTCAAAATTATCTGGTCTTCTACAACTCTTTCAAAAACACACGAAATAATCAGATAACCAGTAAAAAAGGCAATCGCGAAAGTACTTTTTGCTTCTAGTTTTAATTAGGAGTCTTGTCCTTGGTTTATTATTAATTTCGCAGAACATTTTCAAAGGGGAAATGAAAACCCCACAGATAAACGGGCAATTAACATTCCAGAAGTAAATCAACCCTTTGTGTAATGACAAAGATACAGAGTGCCTTTATTTCTTCAAATTTTCAAGTAACAAACAACGAGTATGATTGATAACAACCCCAGCGGGGAGAACTTACGTAATTAGTCATTTAGCCAAAGCGGACGTTCTTATTATTTTGATTTTATATTTTGTATTTTGACATCAAGTACAAACAACGAGCGGTGTTTATATTTGTGGGAAAAAGTATCAGTTTTGATACTTAGACACACTTTTGTTGTCCTTGTAAATTAAACAGTTGTCTGCTTTTATAGTCTTCTTCTGTTAATTCTTCATCTTTTTCAGTTTCTCTTCTTTAATAGCCAGAGAACAGGGCTTTAGAGCCAACTTTTACAAACCGGAATTTAATTAGCCGTCGCGGGGTGTACCGATACACTGAGGGAATAACAATTGCAAACTACGTCAATTTCTTTACAAGCCCTTGTTTATCTGCTTCATAAGCTTGTGTCTTTTGTACCGGGTCTTGTGTACTCGTACACTTCAGGACAGAGCACGTCGCGGACACTTAAATTGTTTTGTTTGTACCGCTGTATTTGAAGAAGCCGCTTCAGTAAAACGATGTGAAAATGACGTGAAAATGACTGCTCTTTTGATGTTACATGTACATGTGACTATTAGATTGTGACGGTATATAGTTGCTGAGGGAAAATTACGTTTTTAGCGCGCAGCGCCAAGCTCATATATCACGGTCAGTCACTTTGCTTTTACTCCAAACAACGAATTTTGTAAACTGGAATTAATTAGTTATCAGTGCAGATTGAATTGATTGTACTACAGGGTAGGCATTCTTGCGTGTTTGAATATTAACATTTTCTTTGAATTATTAGCATGCAAATTTTTAGCCTAACAGGCTGTTTAACTGAGGCTTAACTAAAGGCGAAAATGATTGGGCTTTTGATGCGACACTTTGACCTCTGTCTCTAAAATCAAGAAAACATTGAACATTAAGTGCTAGAATAAAGCCTTGGTGATTGATGAGAAAATTCGGTTAGCAAGAGCCGGACAATTCGAGCTTTAATTGCAACAGGGTTTTTTTCTCATCGGAACATTTGAAAAGAAAAAAGATCTCAGCATGTGTTCTGCATGACTGTATATTCCCATCAATTTACGAAAACAATCTGAAATCATGATCATTTGCTGCAGCCAGTCCACTCGTAGAAATGGCCATTTTATTTGTATTGTGCGTAATGTTAGTACCAATGTACATTCAAGAGTGTGTTCATAAGAAAACATGTGGGCGGAACCAGACAGGAGGCGATACAGCTCAGATCACCGATGTCGTTCAAACTTAATTTGGCACAAATGTTGGGTTTGGGGAGTGAATAATTGTGGCAAAAAAGTAGGTCAAAATATTTTATTCCCTTTAAGTTAAGGGACCCCCGGCAAAAATGGCCATTTGACAATAATTTAGGAATATTTAGCCAGGCATCTTTGGTTTAATATTTCTGCAACAAGAAAAGCCATGCAAAAATGAAATCCACTGGATTATGTTTTCCAACTATCAGCTTAAAAGCACAGGTATTCATTTGAACTGGGCAAGTCAATTTCTCTTCCGTGGTTTCATCTTAAGTAAGGTGCATATTTCGTAAGGTTGCGAATAGTTTTTAATTGATAGCTAATATCTGCAATGGGCAAAACCAAATGCACATTATTTTATCATGGATGGTGACAGCAATCAATAAAATTCACAAAGAAGCCAAAAATATGTTTGGGGACTTTAACATTTTTATCTGTGCTGGCTTACCGTTTACATAGAACTTTCCGATTCATGATCCACTAAAACACCAAAGCCGTTTCCCTGTCTTAACTAGCTCGAAATCAACAAGAAATGTCTAGTTAAGCATTTACCTATCGATTACGAGTAAAAAATCGGCGAAAAAAAGCACTTGAGACACTTCTTTCAAATATTTTTTAAACACTGTCCAAATTTCTTTAACTCAGCTTTACTATTGAACCTGAGTTGACTGATTGACAATCTTGTTTGATTGATTGACTGTACTTTCTTTCAACCTTGACCTAATCAAAGATTCAAAGTTTAAAACATTAACATTACAGCTCCTTTCATTCTCGATCTGTGCTTCTATCCTACTGAGGTTTTACTTTCTTAATTAGCAATAAGACCCTCCAAGAACTTGTCGTTTTGCAACAATTTAGCCGTCGACAGGGTGCT